TAAACCAGGCAGGGGTAGATTTTGCGCTGTGTGCAGGCGCCAAGTCCTGTTAGAACCTGAAATCTCCCATCTCCATAAAGCAGGTCAGCAGCAGGAAGCATGAAGAGCTCTAAAACTTGCTAGACAGCAACTTGTAGACAGCTAAGTTGACCCTGGATCTCAGGAAACAGAGTGGACTGACACCAGCAGATGACATGGCACCCCAAACCATCACTGATGGTGGAAACTTTACACTAGACTTCAGGCAACATGGATCCTGTGCCTCTCCTGTCTTCCTCCAGACTCTGGGACCTCGATTTCCAAAGGAAATGCAAAATTTACTTTCGTCAGAAAACATGACTTTGGACCACTCAGCAGCAGTCCAGCTCTTTTTTTCCTTAGACCAGGTGAGACGCTTTTCGAGCTGTTTCTTGGTCAACAGTGGCTTGACACAAGGCAGTTGAAACCCATGTCTTTCAAGCGTCTCTTGGTGGTGGATCTTGAAGCACTGACTCCAGCAGCTGTCCACTCCTTGTGAATCTCCCCCACATTTTTGAATGTTTTTTTTTTCCACAATCTTGACTAGGGTGCGGTGATCCCTATCGCTTGTACACTTTTTCTGACCACAGTTTTTCCTTCCCTTTGCCTCTCTATTAATGTGTTTGGACACAGAGCTCTGAGAACAGCCAGCCTCTTCAGCAATAACCTTTTGTGTCTTTCCCTCCTTGTGCAATGTGTCGATGGTCGCCTTTTGGACAGCTGTCAAATCTGAAGTCTTCCCCATGTTTGTGTAGGCTTCAGAACTGGACTGAGAGACCATTTAAAGCCCTTTGCAGGTGTTTTGAGTTAATCAGCTGATTAGTTTGTGGCACCAGGTGTCTTCAAAATTTAACCCTTACACAATATTCAAATTTTGTGACACACGGAATTTTGGATTTTCATTTGTTGCCACTTCAAATCATCAAAATTAAATGAAATAAACATTTGAATGCATCAGTCTGTGTGCAATGAATAAATATAATGTACAAGTTACACCTTTTGAATGCAATTACTGAAATAAATCAACTGCAGCCAATCAAAGCAATGATCATTTTAAGCAGGAAAGTAAGAAAACTAAACTCTGTATTTCTCTTGGTATTCGTCCGAAATTCTACAGATGTCTAAATGGCTAATTAGCTATACAACGGGTCAAATAATGTGACAATGACTTCTAACTTCCTGTTGACGCAATTGTTTTGTTTGATATCCAGTTATTCTAAACTATTGTTTGTTAGCTTGCTGTTAGCAAAGCTTAACTAAACATAGCTATAGCCGACATCATTAACAGGCTATTATTCCCACCGAAAGAAACCCGCTGAGCGACAATGACTCCCAGGAGATAGAAGGGAGGTCAGAGTAACATCCATCAGGAACATAAAAGGCCACTGAGACCAACAAACAGTCGTTTTTTAACTTACGCTTTGCATCATAGTCCTCGGCTCTGCCGCCATGTTGGATACTATTTGCTGCCTTCACGGTCCAACCGCAGTGTCCGACATTACTAATTCAACTAAAACTAATTCAACTTTTTTTAATCTTTTATCTTTTCTTTAAATCAAACAGAGCTTTAGAAGTAGATCTACTTCATTCGTAGCAAACACTTACAATGACTCCGTTGGGAGATGACATGGAGGCATTTCTGAACTCTAGTCATTAGATTTCCACTTCCTAAGAAGAAAACAGCCATTTTCAAGAGGCTCTACTTTCAATTTTATAGTGGATAAAATATTGTTCAACATGTATTCAAACTGTTTATTTAAATTTTATACGTAATACAATTTCATAATAACAACACCTGCATGATAATGAAATTTATAAAAGAAAAAACAAAATAACATGAAGCGGTTGTGTCGGTACAGTGTAGTTCTTTAAACAATGCTGCACCCTCGTGGACTTGAAATGAACTGCAGTCATTTCAAAA